CGCGGAGAAAGTGTTTGGAAAGAATCACATGGTTGCAACGATCATCAGTGTTGGATCAGGAAAATTAGATGTGCTACGTCAACAAGGGTCTGTCGTCACACAGATGACGGATATATTGAAACGGGCACTGTTGGACACTGAGCGGGTCCATAACAGTATACAAAGCCGCTTTCAAGATCTTGGAATATATTATCGGTTTAGTGTAGAGCACATCCTTCCCATGGCCAACACTATTGGGAAGACGACAAAAATCCAAACCGTAGCATACCTGGAGGAAGCTATCATCAACCAGAGGATGGACGATGCGGTAAATTCGGTACAGGAACGTAAAGGAATAAAGCCTCTAAAGGATCTTAGTAAATCATCCAGTTTCATCGCTAATTATGACATCTCGGACGTTGGGTTTGCGTACCCTGTCGTTGCGTCAATATAATACATCTCATCATCTCCACCTCCTATCACGACAGGATCATAGGCATCCGGTGAGGCGACCGTCGCACAAGCGGCCTGTAGAATTGTACACCGTGGTCCACTCATGCGGCGTATGTCATATGAGCGAATAAATTGACATGACAGCGCATCTAATGGGTTGATAGCGCATATGGCACTAGTATATCAGATTAGCTGGATCATTCAAAGAAGAAATACTACTGACACCTTGCAGGGCCTGTTTCCTCCTGTCCCAAAGCGCATCGAAGAATCCACAGAGTGGCCATTATCCGCCAATATAGCCTCGAATACGTCCATTAGCTGTCTCAGATTCATCTCTTTCTCTCCCTTTGTTTCAACCGGGCCCCTTGCTAGCACTGTGGTGAGGGAACTATATGCCTTTATCGCCTGAGTGGCCGTCATTTGTAATCGACCAAGAAGAAGTGCGATAATACTTTTTCATGATACTGAGAGAGGGAAACAAACGTGCTGGAATTACCGAGACGTACCCGCCATGGCCACTTCCAATGATCAAGTCGAACCAATCACAAGCTCGAATATCCCCTTCTGATCCTAGATCAAACTTCAGGCGTTGAAGCATTTCATCGATGATGTAAAGGGCCGAGAGCGGGTTGACGCCGCCATCTGATTCAATGGATTTTTAGTCGTCTCCCAGGCAGGGAACGGCGCTGTGCCGCTAGCTGAGGAAAGCTGTACCTATCGAAAGAAAATTTCCAGCTCGACTAGACAAAGAAGCCATGTTGTCGTTGAAAGGAATATTTCTTGTACTTGTTTCAAAAGGATAGGTCAAGTATAGTGTGGTTCAAGTCGCTGATTGCTTGGACTCGTACGTCCACTTGTCCAGATAAGGGAAGCGCGCCTCATTCCCTACTTCGAGGTTTCTCTATACAAATTTACTTCTGGGAAATTCTGTAGGTTGTAATTGAGTATTTTGATGGTTTGGGGTATACAACAGCTGAGACCGTGAGGTGTACTGTGCTCTTGAGCCAGACCGCTGGGAAGCGAATTGGAAATATGCCAAGTATCGGGTAGTTATTGAGTATCTCTAAAGTTAATCATGTTATACGGTCTCGCGTTGTCTAAGAAGATTGTTTTATGGCACGAATATGGAGCTAAAGAAGCGGAATAAAATGATTACAAAGAGAAACCTCGAAGTAGGGAATG